CCTAATTCTAAGCTTACCCCTGTCAATTTAAGCCTTAGACTAATTTCACACAAAGCCGTATGCATTGTGGGCGACCATAGGAAGAATAACCTAAAAATTCGTTTGCCACATAATAGTCATGATAAGAAGTAGACACAGTCTATGAGAAAAGACCTTTATTCGTCAAATATTTCGGATTCCAGCTGGAGCCCATCGTCAGAAGCAGGAGCAGATAGAGTTGATTCGTACATGGGGCCTTGTTATGCTAATAAGTCTTATCTGATGTTGTTTCTGAAAATGGATTCGAGCTGCAATCAGAAACGCTAAAGGAATAAATTTCTTACCCGATTGATCCCTTCTACTTCTTCTCAAATATATCCTGGGACTCACAGGTTTGGCATATAATGACCCTTTTTGGCTTACGTTTGACTTCCGTTGGCCGCAGTTGAACTCTGAGATGAAGAGGCAAGGGATTTTATACTACCGAACCAGTGGGTCTCATCCGCTTTTCTTTAATTAGGGGACTATTGCGTTATGTATTGGAGATAGTATTCACTGGGTTATATAATTAACGGAGTGCATTTTGTTTACTTCAGAATACCAAAGCTCATGACAAAACTGTCCGGACGCTGGATAGAATTGTCTTGGTCTACTAAATTGATTAAAGTAGATCATTAGAAAGTTCCCTGCCTTTGTGTGATCCCGGCATAACAGTAACCAGAACAGTCTGTGGATAGTAAAATGCCCATTGGCTACCTAAGAAGGTTTATTTTCCTGTGATGCGGTTATTAATTTCCAATCTTTTTATAAAAGAAAAATTTCATTCGCACTTGAGAATGTCTGAAACAAAAGCTCGCAGTATCTTCAGCAATTACCCTCCGATTTCATAAAATACTTCGTGACAAACGACGCCAAACAGGCTGTGCGCCTATTCTGGGTCAACTAACCATGCCTTGAGAGGTAACTCGTCTAACCTTAAGTGATTACCGTCTTAAACTTCAGGTAATTTTGACGATAAAACGAGGCAGTTTTAAGTTGTGAATGTTCACATACTCACCGCAAACCGCGTCATGCAATACTCATGCATACCTGCACATATTGTTTAAATAAATCACAAAATCGGCTTACAAGAAAAGCCCACTGAATTGCACGCTTGTACGTTTGTTATGCAAAGGAATAATTAGCTTTGAATATCTGTAAATGAAAACACGTGCGTAACTCATCTCATAATGGCAACACATTAATCAATAACTTCCTGGGAGTTTCGAGCACGATAAGCAGCCTTTTCTCTACTTCTTACGAAACGAGCTAATTGGGTTGACTACCGATATTGTTTATTGGGAACGATGCCCAGTCATCTGTGGGCCGAATTACTGGTTTTTTCAGAAAAAAAACAAGTTTTGTTTTCGATCCATTGTGCCACGCAGGATGGAACGTTTTTATATAAAATGTTCATCAATCGGAGGGGAGTTCCGCCATGAAATTGCTGAGCCGAACATTCCTAGCCTTAGAGACTTTTGCCGCGCAGACTCATAATAGAAATTAAAAACCCTTTAGACAGAAATGTCAAAAGCCTAATGGATTCTGAGGTGTGTCCAACAACGGGATGCAGGATGGCCACAGACCGGCCTTACTCGTGGAAACCTCATTAAAATTAATTCCAATGGGAAACTCACGAGGATAGTGGAGCGAATGAAAAATTCACGTGTGGAAGCTACCACAAACGTGGGAAGTCTCAAAGGATCTGCTGAAAAACTAATGGACCGCAGGAAGAGGAACGACCAAAAAGCACTAGTTAAGGCTTTAAATGAAATCAGAATTTAGCTGTGGGTTTAGTATGAAATAAAAACATAAATATGAAGCACAATCGGAAAACATTTTTTGCAATATTCGTACCACAAACTAAACTGCAGGGAACGGCACGACCTTTATTTTTCATTAAAATGTGAACGTTTGATTCAGTAAATTTGAGACCTACAACTATTCTCTCATAAAAGTAGGACTGGGCCCGTGAGTAAGAATTTGACACAGTCCGCAAATAACATGCAATCGCAAGAAGGGAAGAATTGAAATGCTTAGTTTGTGGTTTAATACTTTCTGCCATCCTGTCCTCAACGCTTTTAAGTCTCAAGGCTTTAACGATGGTTTTGGTAGAGCCGAAATCGCACATGTCCAATAGCTTTCAGTAAGCTTTAAAGCAGGTACTATCTTATAATGGCAGATGCTGATTTGCGTTTCACTACATCTAATTAATCTGAACACACATTCTCATTTAATTTTGGCCAAAGGAGGATCTTCCGGCCCATAGAGAACAGCTGCGCATTACTTAAAAATTGCATAAATACGCACAGGTTAATTCGATTTTAATGTTATTGAAAGTACACACGAAATGTATGATACATTAGACGTGGATGACTGTATCGCCATTTAGCAAAATATTTGACTTTACACACGCATTTAAACAGATTTTGTCGAATTTAAGGCTTTAGTTTAGCGTAACCTAAAGCAACACAGTAAGCTGTATGTGACAAACCATTGTAAGCTGTTTGAATTTAAAGGTTCCTTTTCAGTTTTTTTCAAATTCAATAAGTTAGATGTGCGCCGACGTGAACTCATTAAATGAAACTAAAACACAATGCGTAAAGATTTTCTGCGGTCAGAAATTACATGCATTGATTGGAACCTGAGCCCATTAAAAATGTAGCTTTGCTTATTCAGGCACTTTAAGATAAATGGTATATTTTCTGTCTCTATCCACGGCTCAGTCCGCA